AAGCCCCTCCTTCGGCCAGCCCCCACCTTCTCCCTACTCACCCACATACGCCCCCCATAACCCTTACACCCACCCGTCAACAACCCACCCTCCACCCACACCCACTGCCCTTGCCCACAATTTTGACACCCTTAGCCTCCGTGACCCCACTTGGTACATGGACACGGGAGCGTCACATCATATAGCCTCTGACACAGGTACACTTTCTCATGTTCGTTCTCATTCTTTAAATTCATCTTCATACATCACTGTTGGTAATGGTTCTAAAGTCCACACTACGGCTACCGGTAATTATCACTTCCCCACTTCCCCCTCCTTGTCCCTAAATAATATCCTGGTTTCCCCCCATATTATCCATAACCTTATCTCTGTTAGACAATTCACCTGCGACAATAATTGTACCGTTGAATTTGACCCTACTGGTTTTTCTGTGAAGGATATGCAGACAGGGTCCGTGATTCATCGGTCCAATGATGCCGGTCCACTCTACCCCATGTGCCCATCAGCAACCCAGGCCCAAGCCCATGCTGTCTCCGCTGATCCAGAGCTCTGGCACCGGCGTTTGGGCCACCCTAGCCATGCCGTCCTTCGTGGAGTTCCCAGTTTATCTCAGTGTCTTAATAAACAATTTCAACATTCTTTGTGTCATGCATGTCAGTTGGGAAAGCATGTTCGCCTCCCTTTTATGTCATCGAGTCGTATTTCTGTTTTTCCATTTCAATTACTTCATACTGATTTGTGGCAATCCCCAGTTCCCAGTGTTACAGGCTTTAAGCATTATATGTTACTATTGGATGATTTTTCTCATTATCTATGGATTTTTCCCTTGCAACATAAATCTGATGTGTATTCTCACCTTAAGACTTTTATTGCTTATGTGAAAAATCAATTCAACACCACAATTAAAGCTGTACAGTGCGACAATGGCACCGAATATCGAAACACCCCCCTCAAAATAATTTTCGAAAATCTTGGCATCACCTTCCGTTTTTCTTGCCCCCACACTAGTCAACAAAATGGTCGTGCGGAACGCACCATTCGCACTCTCAACAACACTGTCCGCTCTCTCCTCTTTCAAGCTAACCTTCCTCCTCAATTTTGGGTCGAGGCCCTGTCCATGGCCGCGCACCTTTTCAACATACTACCCACCACTACTCTTAACTTCCGCACACCTCATGAAGTTTTCTATGGTCACCCCCCCACCTATTCCCACCTCCGTGTGTTCGGCTGCCTCTGCTACCCAAATATCTCCGCCACTGCTCCTCACAAACTAGCCCCACGCTCTGCTCGATGCGTCTTTCTCGGGTATCCGACTAACCAACGTGGTTATCGGTGCCTTGATCTCCAAACTCATAAGGTCATTGTTTCTCGGCATGTCGTCTTTGATGAACATACTTACCCCTACAGTCACTCATCCACTCCCGATGAACTGGCTTTCCTCGACTCCACG